ACCCCTGGGATCCAGTGAGAAAATACTGGAGTTTTAACACATCCTCTGGAAACACTGCAAGCATTTTTCCTTAGATTTCATAGGAAAAGAGAGGATTTTTTTCTTTTTATAATACCGTTTAATCCTCCAAGACAATGTGATAAGCTCTGTTTTACAGATAAGAATATTAAAGCTCAGAGACGTTAAATAGCTGTCCTAAGGTCACCCAACTAGTAGGGGGTAGAATAAAATTCACACCCATGTCTGACTCCAAAACCCCATTCGTGCTCCATCCATTCCTCTGTGTTCCTTCCCAAGTGAATTCTGCCCAGAGATAAGTCTCCCTCGATCAGTTGAACACCCTGAATTGAGGACAAGCATGTACCCAAAAGCTGACTTTCATTTCTGTGCCTGAGACTTTTCTAGGCCCAATTTGCAAAGTGTGAATTCAGCCAGTCTTGCAAAGACTCTGGCCACAGCACAAAGCTCCCCAGCATCCCCACGTCAGAAGGCCTCCTTCCTACCCCTCACCCCCACCCACTGCAAGTACCTCAACCACCCACCAGTGGACATTTCAGCCCCCAGCTACTCCTAGGTTATATACTGTTCAAGTGCTATCAATGCCATTTTCCTGTTTGCGTTTTGTTTTTGTTTTTGTTTTGTTTTTACAGTTCGTTGCTCATCCTAACTGTCAACAGCAATTGCTTACCATGTGGTATGAAAATCTCTCAGGCTTACGTCAACAGTCTATCGCTGTGAAATTCCTGGCTGTCTTTGGAGTCTCCATAGGCCTCCCTTTTCTCGCCATAGCCTATTGGATTGCTCCGTGCAGCAAGGTACAGACTGTGTAAGGTGCATGTCGTTTGCGGTTATTTCTTCTCTCTTCTTAGCATGATCTGAAGTCCATTTTGTTCAAATCAGTAGCTGATCTTTTCCCATATTTAAAGAAAATATTCCTGAGATACCCAGTGAAAGTAGGAAACCCCATAAAAGGAAAAATATTAAGAGATGCTTTTTCAAATCTTTTTTTTTCCCAAAGCGAGGCATAATTTGAAAGGATTAATAACAGAATTGAGAATAAAGACACTTTTCTCCTTCTAATTATGCAATGTCCTAAGCATGTCCTCCAAGCCCACAGTATAATAATTATAATCATGGTAATAGTGATAGCCAACATTTGAATAGCTTCTCTTCTCTAAGCCCTTTTCATGGAATATCTCATTTCATAGCCTCAATTACATTATGACATGTATGCTTCATGAAGTAGGTTCAGAAAAGAGAAATGACTAGTAGGCTGGGAGTCAAACCCAGCTCATGTTGGGGCACTGCAGACCCATGGCAACATCTTCCTAGTTTTCCTGGCCCCTTTGATGAGGTTCTGGCTCACATGGGCAGCTATTGAGGTTGCAAGAAGGAAAAAGGCAAAAGAAAGAGAAGAGATCACAAGGTGTGTTCTTTCCCTGTGGGGGGGAGTGTCCAGTGCCCACCAGTGATGGAAAGAGTGGAACCTGCAGGTGCCAACCTGCCCCACTGCCCACCCCATCATCCCCACATCCCAGTCATGTGGGTCAAAGCCACGGAAAGCACCAGCACTCCAGCTTCAGTGAAGAGTCAGTGCCTATAAGCCCAAAGCATGCAGAAATTTTGAAATATGTTTCATGGGTTTAAGATTGTCACTAAAGGTTCCAAAGCAGCGTTTACCTAGTGATATATTTAACAAGGAATTAAACTTAGGTAATCAACATTCAGTAGAAGAAATATGACTACAGGGAGATTAGTTCCACAGGCAATTTGATCAGCTAATACGGTTAATAAAAGTGTCACCAGTGAATCGACCCTTTTGTCAACTCCACTTAGAAGTAACTCATATCAGAATGACAGCTCTGAGACTTCGGGGCTGCTGGTGAGGCCACCTAACCAGACAGGCAATGAACTGACTGCCTCAGAGTAGGTGCAGGGTCACAGAGAAAGGTCAAGCCCCCAAATCCTTCTTCTGGAGACTAGTATTAAAAATGGAAGCCCTCTTACTGAACTTCTATAGTATGCAAACTTACCTCTATTGAGGATTTTGTTTCTATGGCAATCTATCATGCCAGGTACCTTCAGATCAGAATTTCACAAATAATATATATGTAGGCAAAGGCGATTTTTTTCTGTCCTTCATTATGAGCTGAAAAAACACAGTGGGTGAAAAAAACTAATCAGTCTTAAAGATGGCTTGAAGCTGGTCATGAGTTTAAGGCACATGTTTTGATGCTGGAATTATCTAGTCTGTACTGTAAGTTGCTTTCACCCAGAGCCCCAGTGAATAGGGACACTTACCTTCACTCTCTCTGAGCCCCAGAACAAATTCTAGGCTGTTCAATAATTAAAATAACAGCAGCTTTGTGGAGAAAGTGCTGCCAATCCTCACTTTTGCTGCAAAGCTAAATGTGACAGCTTCCAGGAACCCGGGACTAGCCAGCAGGAGCAAATCGGCTTGCCTCTGACTGCCTGGTGGCCTGGGAAGATTCAGAAAGAGATGACGTGCTAGCAGCTGACAAAAGTGTTTAGATTCCTGGTGGCTCTAAGAAGAATCTTGGTATATATGCAGATGTGATCCCATTTAAAAGTGTGTGGTTGCAGAGAGGGATTTCCAGAATTTCTTGGGCCTAGTAATCCAGGAAGCTAAAAGCACCTAGGACGTAGGGGTCAGACCTATGGCAGTCTTCTGGGACACTCTGGAAGAAACGGTTGCAAGAAAGTTTGGCCCATAACAGGGGCTTTCTCACCTCTGTTCAGATACTTGTATGATTGGCATTTGGTACTCCCAGAAGTTCCAATAAGACCTAAAAAAAAAAAAAAAAAAAAAAAAAAAAAAAAAAAAAAAAAAAAAAAAAAAAAAAAAAAAAACCAAAAAACTCAAGATAAACATGAGCTGATCCTTAAGCCATTTGTCACTTCTGTGCACTTTCTAGATTCTAAGTCTGAGCTCACTGCAGTAGACGGCACGTCGATAACTAAGTCTGTGGCGTGAGATGACTCTTGGTGGCACTGCTTATTACAAGCAAAGATTCCCTCATTAAAGAGCTGTCGAACTTGCTCTGAAGCAGCCAAAAGACAGATAAAACAGTGAAGATATTTTTAGTCTTTCCTTTCACCATTTAGAAAGAAATCTTTTCAACTTTGGCAGAGATATTACTGGGTATTACAGAGAGGCCGCATCTGCCATGTGACAAAACCAGCCCCTCTAAGGGTTCCTGATGCCCAGAAAAACCATGTCTTCCCAAGAGGAAGGCAATGGCAAAGTCTGCTAATGAGCTGGCAGGCCTCCTCCTGAGGTGTCACAGCCTTTATATCTGTCTATATTTGTAATTCCAGGAAAAAGACAATGTCATTTCAGAGATCTCATGTTCTAATAACATTATTACATCTCTTTCTAAAAAATTAGACCTTGATATTATTTTATAAAAGTATTCATAAAATGTGACTTGCAAACCTCATCAGCTAACTAATGTCCATCAACATCTAGAAAACGTTGAGATTTCTGTTTCCAGTCCAATGGTGCACTTACTTTCTAATAGTTGCTGCCCTAATTTAGGGACTATCAGGAACATCACAATTACTTGATTAGCCAGTCATAATGACTGCATCATTTCTTTCCTATTGAATTATCAAGGCTGTGGGTTCTATTTTCATATTAAGTTTCTGAGGGTCCCTAAGAAAAACAGTTAAATAAGGAAATTACAAGGCTAAAGGTGTCAGCAGAAGTTCAGCTTACCAATATGTTGGTTAAAGAGGATAAGTGAGTCACAGATGGCTACATATAATGATAAATGCAGGCCTGAAGCCTGCACACAGGTTTATCTGGGTCAAGGGAAAGAACAGTTATTCTGTTTTCATTTTTCATTGTCATCACCAACATAGTTGAGTTCCGGCAGCCCACTGGGAAACCAGTGAGTTCTAATCCCCATGGATGCATGGCAGTTAGATCTATGTTGACCTAGAGAGTTCTCTATCCTCTCAACAAGGGCTCCAATGTCAAAGGGTCTTTATGGCTGCCTAGGCTGTTTTCATCCTTTGCTATTCTGTTCTGATTTGTAATTTAGATTGTTTGTCTGTTAAGATCTCAGAGCCAAAAGAATAGCAGTCAGCCTCAAAGGATCAAACACTATCTCTATAGCAGGTGGAGCGTGGTAGAAGGCAGCTCCATGAAAATACTAAGGAACTACACCAGTTCTAATTATAAGAGGGAAGGAGAAGCTGACCTCATCTGTTATCTATTAACCGTAACTGTTCAATTATCCTCAAAATTTGCCCCAAGACTCAGGCAGGAGGAACTATAAACAACTTTAGAATCTAACCTTAGGTCCTTGTAGTGTGCAATCTATCAGTCCTTACTGCCATAATCCTTGCTTGGAGACATATAAAGTTGTTACCCCCTCTCCGCCATCCTAAACATGAATATCTAGTAAGGAAGGCATGAGTGAGTGAACAGCTTTGGAAGATTTCTGCTTTGCCTTACCAAAGCTGAAATGGTTTGAAAGGTTTCCTCAAACCATGTAGTTCAGGGGCCAACCATGAGAGGACAGCACCTCCAGAGACCTCTGTTTCCTCACATTTGTCTCTACCAGAGAGCTACACACGATTAAAGAAAATCACAACACAATTTTTGAAGCATAGCCATGGAGAGGAAATCTGTGTCCGGAAATACAACATCGGTGTTCTTATGTCACCAATGCTTCTGTCCCCAAGTCCAAAAGGCTAGTCCAGCACCTGTCACCCTGCTGAGATAGGATTAAAGGCTGCCGGAAGCTGATCAAACTTAGCCCAGACTGAGCCCTGCAACATTTCTCCCCATCTCTCCATCTATTTCCTACCACAGTTTTTATAGCCTGTGTCTCTCCACACTAGAACATCAGCAACTTTGAAGGGAAGAACCCACTCTTAAAGCTTGTTTTATGTCTATCACCTCCAGTGCCCAGCATCATGTTGCACACAGACAGTGCAACAGGCTATCTGTAAGAGATATCCCAAACAGGCTTGTGGCATAAATACATAAGGACTCTGTGTGGGTCCACCTTTGTGTCAAGTTTCTTTTAAGATTCCCCTTAGCAGAATGGCCTGAGACCCTCCAGTGCCGTATGTTGAGTACTTCCCATACACCAGGCACTCTTCTAACTGCTTTGTGTGTATGAAATAATTCATTGCTTACATTGACCCTATGCAGTTGGCACTATTTTCATCACCATTTTATAGAAGAAGAAACTGAAACACTAAGGGATTAAATAACTTGTTTAAAAAAAATATATATATATATATATATGAAGCTGTGGTTTAAACCTAGAGTCTCTGCTCCAGAGAGCTGCCCTTAACCACTGCATGCAACTGCACAGGCCCAAGTGCGTGCACACGTGCACACACACACACACACACACACCCCTTTAGTTACACTAGCACCATTACAACCTTCAACGCCTAACATAAACATCTTAGCTGCTAACTGACCATCTGAAATGGACTTGATTCAGATCCTAAGAGTTGGTAGGACTTTTTAGAAAGAAGTCAAAAATCACCAGATGACAAACTCTGTCCCTTCCTTTTCTTTCATTAGAGTCCTACTTTGTAAATCCCTCTTCAGCCCCCAAGACAAAGTGTGGATTCACATTGTAATGTGCGGAGAAATGTGTAAATTCACATTGTAATGTGAGAACACTGATTAGAGGCACCCAGTAAACACCACCCCTGTCCCACCCCATCATAAATGAGAAAATTCCTGAGCCCTAAGTTAGACATTTTGATAAGGGTTTCGTGGAAAGCATCTTGAGGAATCCACCTCTAACTTAACCAGGACTTTGCTAACATTTGAGAATCACCCAGCCTCAAAGTTGTGCATGTTTCTTTTGGGAATGATTCATCCAAGTTTGCCTTCACTCAGTTTCTAACTTGTAAACTAGGCCTTTGCTTAAGATCATGGCACCCAGTGGAAAGTGAGGGTGGCATTTGGTGAAAGAGACTCTGTCACAAAAGATGAGGAAGATGCTGGAAATATTCTCTTGAGTGATCTACCACAATCACAGCCACAGGCCTACATTGTTGGGATGTGGGACTCATATATCCAGGTCCCATGTAGGTGCTTACACTTGTGAGGGCTAAGAGCCCACTGGCACGAAACACAGAGTTGGTGCTGACTAGTAAACACAGGTGCCCACCCCAAGGGTCCATGAATGCAAATTGTTTGGAGCCAATTCAGGAGCACTATTCAGTTGCTTTGACATTAATATATTTCTCAGAGCCAAAGAACACTGGCCAGGAAGCCTGGGGTGAGCCAGAGACTTCAATTCTACAAAATTCCCTGGCATGTTCTCGGCTTATACATCCTAGTAAAGACTAAGCTGCTTTAGCCCACATTTTGGGGCTCCTCAGTTCTACACTCCAGGCACAGTGGGCTAAGGCCCACATCTTCATCTCTTTTTACACCTAAAGCTGGTACCTGACCCAGTTTTAATGATTCTGTAGCCAAGAGCTGCTGGCATATATTGGTTGACTTTTCTCCTCTCTTTTGGCTCATCTGGCGGCCTTGCAAATGGAGAAAATTTTCCCCAAAGGTAATTTAGTTCAAAAATTATCTGTGTGAGTCAAATAGGGAATTTTACAAATAAAGAAAAAGAAAAAACATTGAAATGACTGGATCTCATTTGACCTTTATCAAAGTTTTACCAGATAAAAAGATGCATTCAAACCCAGAAGTATAGGAAAAGAACATCAATTCCTAAGCTCACTTTCCTCCCTATGACCTAGATCAAGTGGGAACTGAGCCCAGGGTAACTTTCCATGAAATCACCCAAAGTCATTATCAGGACTTTTTATTATGGTTTATAGTAAACAAATAATTTTTGCAGATTCATCTTCTTCTAAAAGATAACAGCTTGAAGGAGGTAACAAAGAGAACATTAAATTCCTTAAACCAGGTCTTCTGGGGAAACCCAAAGCCAGCTTGGGTGCAGCTACATACAAATTCCAGCAGTCAAGTGCCTCACCTGGGTAAGAAGATGCATCCAAATGGTCGTTGAAGATATTAGGTAAAGCCCACAGATAAAGGATGGGGAAATGGACCCCCTTAAGAGTTGTGTTTCTCTCAGAGTTCCCCAGCTTTTTCTGACATTCTTGAAACCTTACTGGGATACACAAGACCTGGTATCCCCTGCCATCTCTTCAGTCTCCCCTCTCCTCACACTCTACTCTCCTCCCTGCAGTCATTCTCCATCTCCCCTCACCTCTCATCACCAGCTCAGTCAGGACACAGTGACAAGAAACAATGTGATGGCTACCTAAGGCTGTCTCCTGGATACACCAAAACATCCCAAGGTCCTGGTTGAGAAATGGGACTCCAAGATGCTAACACCATTTGCTAAAATGTCAAAAACTTCAAAGTAGTTATTTAACATCATGTAAATAAAAAAGAGACATGGTTTAATGCAGTTTTTTTCTGAATTTATATAACATGTTTTATTTGTCCTTACATTTAATCTCTGCATTCTAAAACTAGTTATTGCCAGAAATAATCTATAGTCCTTAAACATTATTCAGAAATGTTATTGTAAAATATTTGTGGGCCTATTGTCAGATAAACATCTCTTTACATTTCTGAAGTTATTCCTAGTGTCATATGATAATATGCAGGTGAATTCTAACACAAGCAGGGATTCCCAATATTTGTATTTTTTTTAAATCTAGATTTTTAAAAAGATAAAAACTAGCACTTTATTTCAATAAATGGATTCTATAGCATCAGAATCATAATAATGTTATGCTAATAACTACAATAATTAAAGGGGATGATTAACATACTGAAGCACATTAAAAGAACATTATCAAGCCATCTGATTTATAAATGTTATATTGAACATAGTCACAATCAGAAAAACTCTACTTAGAGAAATCCCTGTAATTGATCTTCTGTTGTACCAATAGACTATCTCTTAGGTAACATTTTACACTAGGACTCCTGAATGAGGCAGAATGTGAATGTCAATAGTCAGTCACTGGTTGTAATTTAATATCTACCCTGGAAAAGGAACTGAGCTTCAGAAAAGATGTTCCTCTTTGCTCTTGTCTTTTTATCATGCCTGGATGAGGGGTAGGGGTTGGTGCTTAGATGAGGGCAATGTGCTGAGAAGAGTCCCCACTGAGTTCATTAACAGGAGGTTGGCAAGGACTCAATGTGCAGCCCCCAATTCAATCTCAAAAATCCAAGTGGCCTTTGGATGGGATGCCATGAGACAGAGAAGATGTGACTAGTATTTGCTCCCTAATAGGGCATCTTTTGGACCATTTCCAGCTTGTGACATTTCAGGCACTAGGCCCAAAGGAAAACTTTAATGAATTTTAGAATACAATCATAGAGACTATGTTCTGGAAAGATGCTGCAATAAAATACAAATTTTTTAAAGCAGGGAGAAAAAATTCCTCTATGTCTGGAAACTAAATAATCCTGGAGTTAAAAATGAAATCAAAATGTAATTTATAAAATATGTAAACTGAATGTCAATGAAAATTTAGGAGAAGGCAGCTAAAGCAGTACCTAGTGAGAAATTTATAGCTTTAAATAAATGTATCAACATACAAGAAAGGTCGAGAACAAATACTATAAGAATGAAACCCAAGTAAGTAGATAAAACAAAAACTGAGCATACTCAAAGTGTATTTTTTAAAAATTGTGAACTTTATGTAGACATTATTTCTTCATATCCGCTCAGTTGGAGGTATCAGTGCAATCAGATGTAACATGATGATTATGTCAGATGTCTTCTATCAGTTTCTCTTAGCCCCTCCCACTAAGTCTTCTAAACAGGAAAATATTGACCAAATAAGTTGGTCCAGCAGCATGTCACATAAACTGAAAACTGCAAAATAGGTTGGTTAAAAAAAAAATCAGTCTTAGTAGGAAAAAATTAAAAATTGCAAAAATCACATAAAAGTTCAAGAAAAAATATTGTCTGGGTTCAGTTAGCAGTTTCTGTCCAAAATGAAGGATTCTCTGGTTAAACTTTGATGAAACAATGCTTTAAAGAGAGAACTGCATCCACCTAGAACCAGTTTAACATGTCTTGCACACGTTTTCTTTCCAGCTAGGACGAACCCTGAGGAGCCCTTTTATGAAGTTTGTAGCTCATGCAGTTTCCTTTACCATCTTCTTGGGACTATTAGTTGTGAATGCATCTGACCGATTTGAAGGTGTTAAAACCCTCCCAAATGAAACCTTCACAGACTACCCGAAACAAATCTTCAGAGTGAAAACCACACAGTTCTCCTGGACAGAAATGCTCATTATGAAGTGGGTCTTAGGTAAGTAAGTCACTCGATTTTTATTCTCTCCTTACTAATTACAGTAGGACGTTATTAAACTCTGATTTCTGAACTTCTCCCTCTCCTCTTCAGTATACTCTTGCCAGACAAAATGGTGAGTGGATGACCAAAAAAAAAAGTCATAGTCAATTTCTGTATTTAAGATGCACAGACCTGTAATACAAATTTTAATTTTGAAAGGAAACATTTGAGGCGGTGGGTAGGGGGGGTGAAATTTTTTAAGTACATGTATTTAACATTCATTACACATGTATTGAAAGTAGTCTCATGAGGAAACATACTATTTTGATCATTTAAATATAGTCCACCAGAAGGCTTAAGAAAATAAGTTCAGATTCTAAAAAAGGGCATAAAATTGCACAGCTTAAAAGGTATTTCTGCTGTCACTGAATACTGGAATATAGTAGAATTGTGATGATAAATATACATTTAAAAATTTTGGAGAGTAACATTTTCTTATTATTTGTATAAATGAGTGTACTAAAAGGCTATGAAATTCCTCTTGTAGAGATATTTTGTGCTGCCAAGGCCTGCCACTGAAGCTGCCAAGGAAATTGTTCCCAATTTCCTCATTGATTAACTAAGAAGGGCTATCTGTCTTTTACCCAATTTATGAGAACCATTACTAGAAGGAATAAGCAAAATAAAATAAAACTGGCAGTGGCTAAAATTGAATGTGGCAAAATGTGTTATTGATTTTTCTAACACTGAAAACTGCAAAATCGGTTGGTTAAAAAAAAAAATCAGTCTTAGTAGGAAAAAATTACATATTGCGAAAACCATAATCAGTGATTCTGTATATAAACCTTATCAATAAATTTTAAGAGTTACATCAAAAATATGTGAATTTGATTGGAATATTTTAAGTAAAACAGAAGATTAAAAAGACAAATAATTAATGCAGTATCAAGATTTGACCAAGTAATTCAGCTGGCTTAATGGTGTTCACTTCAGATTTTGCTTTCTGGACAGAAATTTAATATCGGTATAATTTTCATTGTTTATATTCACAAACAATGAGTCAAAATGTATTCAAGGAGCCTGTGCCATCAATCAACAAAATCACAATAGAACAAATACTTGAAAGGATAACCTAACGTATGGCCTATGCTAATTAAATAATAGAGCCCAAAAGTGCTACAAGAGTAGAACCACTACAGGCCGTCCTATGGATGCCCACACTGAGACCAGTTGGAAAAATGGTCTGTAAGTTGGGTCTCTAAATAAGTGGAAGAAGATGAGACAAATGGTTTCATCCAAAGGGCAGAGGAAGGACAGCCCACCAGGCTTCCCAGGGACTTTATAAAACCAGCAACCCTGTGACCAAAGGCTCATTTAGTGAAGTCACTGGCACTAAGGTTGGGAAAGGACATTAAAGTCTGTTACAGAGTGAGTTCTGTGGCCTTATCTTCACAATTCAGAATCTGTCCCAGTTCTCCCTAGTACATACCCTATTGTTTAACTAAACTAAGCATTTTAACACTAGGCGCTTAGAAAAAAATCTCTCATCTTGGGTTTATGAATAAAATTTAAAGTATTTATAGCACCAATCACCCATCCACCCCATTTTCCCACCTGGACCCCAGGTAGAAGACTCTGGTAATGCAACCATACTTTCCCTTGAAGAGATTTGGTGACTGTTAGAGAAACCTCTTGCACAATGACTTCCTCCTGAGTCCTCACATTTCTCTTCCTGGGTGTCAGACCATTATTCCAATAAAAGGGATGTGTCTCTAGCTATAGGATCTCCAACTTGTATAGCTTAGTCCCTGCTTCTGACCCTCAGAGCACAATTCAAGACTGTTATATCAGAAGCGTTGTAGAGGGAAGGACTTATTTCTCACTGGCCCCTTTCCAGAAGAAAAACTGTAATTACTTTTTCTTACCTAGAGAATGTTTTCAAATTTTTTGTTACAAATAATTTTAATGAAATGCAAAAAACAAGAGAAGAGCGTAATGAACTCCATGGACCTATCTCTCATCTTCAATGATAAACAATTTATGGCCAATCTTTGTTCCATCTATACTTCTCCCACTTCCCTTCTCCCTAACCTTGAATTATTTTGAAACAAACTCCAGTTATCATAAATTTCATCTGTTAACATTGTTGTGTATATCACTGCAATGTAACGTCTCTTTTTCCTTTTAGCAATCTTTTTTTCTTTCTGTGCTTCATGGTCGCTGATATTTTTTTCCTGTGGTTTTTGTGATTTTAATCCCAATCAGTGAGTTTTTCATTTCAGATTTTTTTTTCAATTCTTGAAATCCTATTTAGCTCTCTTTTATATCTCCCATTTCCTTCCTCATCATATTTGTATTTTCCTTTAAATCCTTGAACATATTTACAGCAACTGTTTTGAAATCTTGACTCCTAACTCTATCATCTCTGTCATTCCTGGGCTGATTTCTATCGACTAATCTTGCTCCTAATTATGGATGACCTTTTCCTGCATCTTGAAATGCTTGGTAATTTTGGGTTGAGTGATGGGCACTCTGCATGTTATGATTGTGAGCATCTGGATTTTGTCTTCCTTAAATTTTTGGCATTATTCTGACAAGCTGTTATGTCACTTGCAGACCAGTTTGATCCATGTAAGGCTTTCTCATAGTAGATCTTTAGAAGCCTTACTGTAAAGATTGTTTATCTTTGTACTATAAAGAAACACTTCAGGGGTCTCTACTAAATGCCATGGATAATCAGCAAGGAGTGTCAACTCTGGATGATCAGAGCTCAAGTATCTCCCCATTCTAGCTCTGGAAACTGTTTGGCTTACAGCTCCTTGGCAGTTGTTGGTGGAGTTTCACTCTATGAATTCATGACTTAGTATTCAGCAAACATTCAAAAGAACCCCTATTTAAATTTCTGGTATCTTTTGTTTGCTTAGTTTTGGTTTGTTTCTTTGCTTGCTTGTTTTTGCATAGTACCCTTCTCTCTGGAGCTCTGCCCCACACTGTAATCACCTGAGGCTTCCAAAACCCCATTCTGTCTCTTCAACTCAGTGAGACTGCCTGCTATGCTTCTGGGATCCCTCTCCATGTACTACAGACTGTAACGTGCCTCCAGAAAACAAGGCTTTGTGGTCATATGGTTTGCCTCACTTGTTTCCCTTTACTTAGGGATCACAGTTCAGTGCTGCCTATTTCCAATGCCTAAAAATAGTTCTTTTTGTTTTTGTTGTATTTGTTGTTTGTTACTCCATCCTGGCTAGTAACAGAACTCAGAACACTTTTTCTAAAAGAGAACCAGAAAAAGCATTATCAAGCCTAAAAGGAAATTAATAATATCTTAGTATCTTCAAATATCCAGCCAATAACTAAATTTCTTTCACTGAGAGAGGTAGGTTGAATAAATATCCACATGACTTCTTCTTTCCTTCACTCTTCCTTCAAATCACTGTTCAAATTTCACCTCATCAGCATAATTGCGCAGGTCAGCACATGCCCTCTTATCCCTCTATTCTGATAAGGTGAAAAGCATTCCAGACAAAAGGAATAGTATGTGTTAAAGTCTGGATTCAGGAGCAAGCTGGACGTGTTCAAGGAACAGCAAAGAGACTAGTGTGGCTGATGCAGATAAATAAGGAGGAGAGAAGCAGAGATGAAGTTAGAGGAGGTAGCCTTTGGAGAGTTTTCAGCACAGAAGTGACATCATATGACCTCAGTTTTTAAAGGATCACTGACAGCTATGTAGAGAACAGATAATTGTGGGATAAGAGCAACAGCCAGGAGACCGATTAGGAGGCCACTGCAATAATTCTGACAGGAAATGGCTGATTTGAGGAGGTGGTAGATTGTGATTACATTCTGAAGGTAAAATCAATAATGCTTACAATTGGATTGTATATGGGATGTGATAGAAAGAAAGCAGTCAAGAACAATTCCAGATGTTTAGTTCAAGCAATGGCATATTAGAAAGCCACTTACTAAGAGAGAAAAGACCCAACAGGGAGCAGTTTGCAGAGGGAACAGAGATGAAAACCAAGACTTTAGTTGAGACACATATTTAGACATTCATGTGGAAATGCCAAGTAGCAACTGAATATACATGCCTGAAGTTCAGAGGGGAGATTGGGGCTGAAAACATAAATTTGGACATATCAGTGCATGTAAATTATGTAACATCATTGCAACTAGGAATGTGGGCAGAGAACTAAGGACCAAGCCCCAGAGCACAACAATGTTTAAAGCATGGGAAGATGAGAAGTATCCAGCAAAGAAGGCTAAAGTAAGAGAAGAACCAAGAGAGTGCTGGCCCAGATGCCAAAGGATCTGTGGCAAGAACCAGAAAGTGATGACAATGTTGAATGCTGCTGATGGGTCAAGTATCATGAGGCTGGGGATCTGACCATCAGCTTTGGAAGCAAAGTCCCTGAGCAGGCAACAGGGAATGGGATTTATTGTGGAAGCAGACTTGACCTTAAAGGTGGAGCACAGTGCAGGTGGATTGGGAGATGCAGTAATGGGAGCATTCACAAGTTATTTTCTGATATTTTCTATTTTCTCAATTTTTACTCAGTAAATATGTTTTAGTTATTAGGCCACACACACACACACACACACACACACACACACACACACACTATATTATATCAGGCACTGTGTCAGGTACTAGGGAAGCAGCTATAAGTAGAATTAAGTTATCTTGTTCTAAGTACTGTCTGTAGCTCTTTAATTATTATAAAAATACTAATAGCCTGAGAGGCAGATTTGAGCACTGTGTTTATAAGAAGGGTCTTTGTGCTGGTGCACCCTGAGACCCAGCATGTGATCTCTGCTCAGACATGGAGATATATGAGGTATTATCTGGCCCCTGCTGAGGAAGACTTGCAATTCTGCTCCTAGGCACTGCCAGGCAGGCCTTGCATCAGTTAGAAACACAACAGCACAGTTTTTTTTCTCCCATGACATATCACACTCATAAAGGAAATACTTTGAACAGACTGACTATAAAGATACCCAAACCATAACTCCCTCTTTAT